TGTGACAGCAACTGTTTCCAAGCCTAGCATTCAGAGACTCAGTTTGCTGAGCGGTACTCACCCAGTGGCTGAGGGCAAGGTACACATAGGTTCCACGTGGCAAGGTGCAAGAGCTCCCACACTGCTCCTAGGGCCTCCAGCCAGGCTTTGAATCCATCCCTCTCTATCCAGAGGGGGTCCGCTGGGCTCTGAGCCCCCCGCCCAGCTCCCTGGCTGGGAGCCCTGGGCAGTCCCGGGGGAGCTGGGTCATGGGAGGGCGCCAGCGGACCCCCTCTGGCTGTAGCGGGATGGTTTCCCAGCACTGCTGGAGGCCCTGGGAGCAGTGTGGGAGCTCTGCCCCTTGCCACCTGGTCCCTTGTGCCCCCCGCCCCCAGCCCTGGGTGGCCACGCCTGCAAACCCCACTCAGAAGCTGGGCTGGGCCAGGCTGCGCTCACCTGGGACCAGCTCTTGGGATGCAGAGTGACGGAGCAGCTGAGGGTCCCGGCCGTGGGCGTGGGCACCATGTAGCTGCGGAGGAGGAAGCTGAAGCGCTGGTGGCCGTCGGGACTCGGGGCCAGCAGGCTCACGCAGCTCCCCTTGGGCGCCCGGCCCTGGATCAGCTCCACGTTCTCGGCCTCGGGGCCCAGGTCCAGGCGGCAGCTGTCCAGCTGGAGTACGAGCTCAGGGAGGGGCGGGGACGAGCTCACCTGCGCAGGTGGGCAAGGGGGTGAGGCACGGCGGGAGGCGAGCCCTCGCCTCCCCCACCTCGGCTCCCTTGAAATGAACCAGGAGAAGAGTTTGTGCTGCCAGGACCTATCGGGAAAACCTGGAGCGGTGAGGAGTGCAGAGCCCCGTTCCCAGCAGTGCCCTGAGCACCGCACGGCCTCCCCCTGCACCGGGGCCGGCTGGCTCCTGCTCTCCTGGGCAGAGGGGGGAGGGGAGGCCGGGAGGTGTGGGGCACGGCCAGTACCTGCACAAAACCCTGCTGTCCCAGCTCAATGGTGCTGGAGGCCTGGCTGAAGTGCGGGCTCACGTAGAGGCCCAGGTGCACGGCGAGCCCTTCCGCGTTGAAGCAGTGCACGGTCTTCTGCGGACGGAGGTGGGGCCCCGGTCAGCTGCGGGCAGGAGCTGGGCGGAGGCCCAGGGCGGCTGCCTCAGCCCCAGGTCACCTTTGCAAAACCCGAGTATTTAGGGCAGGTGCGCGCCCTGCGCCATCTCAGACGCACCCGCGGGTGCTCTGCTTATGCCACAGTCGACGCCTGATGACTCTGGGCCAGAAAGCTCCCGTGGTTTGCCCCGGCCACACAGCCAGGAAGTGCCGGAACCCCTGGCCAAGAGTCTGAGGGTCGGGCCCCGACAGTACTGCTGCTCCCATTGTACAGAGCGGGAGACGGAGGCATGCGAGAGCCACGTGGCTTGCGAGGAACAGAGCCTGAGCTTCCCGAGGTCTGCTCCCCGCCAGGCCAGGAAGGGGCCCCCCGCCCGGGCAGCAGACCCTGGCCCAGGTGGGTCAGCACGGGGCCCACATTTCTCACCCTCTGCGGTGACGAGGCCGACAGGACATGGACAACCACCTGTGGGGACAGAGCCAAGGAGCTGGTCAGAGCCAGAAAGGACCCTGGAGGCTAGCCCAGCCAATACGCCCATCTTATGGATGGAGAGACTGAGCCTCATCTTGTGTTCCCACTGAGCGCCACACCCTGCCCCCCCCCCCCAGCCTGGAGGCTCGGCAGGCAGCCCCCTGTGCGGCCCGGGCCTCACCTCGTTGCTGATCATGCTGGCGGTCACCTCCATGCCGCAGCGGGAGTAGGGGCTGTGCAGGACCAGCTGGCCCTCGCTGTCCTCGGCCTGGCAGCGGGGGTCCCCGAAGGTCAGGTTCAGGATGGTGCACTGCAGAGCCTGGGCGGGGAGGAGGCGGGCACGGTGAGGGGCGCCGGCTCCTCAGGCCTGGCCACCGCAGCTCAGCTCCCAGAGGCCTTGAATCCCAGCTCCCCCGCGCGCCCTGCATTTGTCACCATCCTACTCCGCGGGACACCTGCTGCTCTCCTTGAACCGGCTCTCCTTTATTTATTTTTTATTTTTATTTTTTTTTTGACAGGCAGAGTGGACAGTGAGAGAGAGAGACATAGAGAAAGGTCTTCCTTAGCTGTTTGTTCACCCTCCAACGGCCGCCGTGGCCAGTGTGCTGCGGCCAGTGCACCACGCTGATCCGAAGGCAGGAGCCAGGTGCTTCTCCTGGTCTCCCATGGGGTGCAGGGCCCAAGCACTTGGGCCATCCTCCACTGCACTCCCAGCAGAGCTGGCCTGGAAGAGGGGCAACCGGGAAAGAATCCGGCGCCCCGACCGGACTAGAACCCGGTGTGCGGCACCGCTAGGTGGAGGATTAGCCTAGTGAGCCGTGGCGCCGGCCCGCCTGTATACTAAGCCTTGTCCTAAGCAATGCTATTTACTTTCTTCTAATCTATATTAAAAATAAACACAAATTAAAACCAAAACCATGTGCTTGAGCGGGCAGGCAGTCACCGCTCACAGCTACACGCCACACACACCCCACCTGCATAGTCCGATGTCAGGTCTGGGGCTGGCAAACTTCTCCTTCAAGGGCTAGAATGTAAATATTTTAGGCCTAGTGAGCCGTATGGTCTTTGTCATGGTGACTCGATTTTACTGTCACAGCTGGAAAGTCGCCATAGACAGCCTATGAATGAATGGGTACAGCCGTGCACCAATAAAACTTTATTAAAGACAAAAAAAAAAAAAACAAAAAACAAAAAACAAACAAACAAAAAAAAACAAGTGGTGGGCCAGAATTTGCCAGCCTGTTTCGGGAGAATCAGACTGGAGGGTTTCTCAGCCACACTCTTAGGCTCAAAGAATCTCAGAGTCGTAGCGTAGACTGCCGCGGGCTGCTGAGGCCCCCCGGGTCACAGTCACTCCCCCAGGATGCCGCCCCTGATGGCCGCCGCCCTCAGCTCCCCAGCTAATGCAAGCGGCTCTAGGGCAGCTGGGAAGAGCCCTACAGGGAGTTCCGGTTCTGCACTGCCAGTGGGAGGCACCCGTGTCTGGGGTGACAGCCCAGAGCCTTCTCGGTGAGTGATCTCCCACAGAGATCCGGTTCTTGGGAGGATGTGCGGATCTGGGTTTTCTCTGTGTGTGTAACACACGCAGCCACAGCGCGCCACCAGCAATCTGGTCTCCACCGCTTTCCGTGTCTGTATGGGCAGACTCCAGACGGATCCGCTAGGCCCCGCCGATGGATAGCTAGGTGCCTGCCGTCCCTCCCCCTGCTGCTCGAGTCCAGCTTCCTGTCAGTGCCGGCCCCGGGAGGCCGCAGCCAATTGCTACATTCCTGCCACCGGTGTGGGAGACCTGGATGGAGTTCCTGGCTCCCAGCTTCCGCATGACCCAGCCAGGCCCACCCTGGCCTTTGTGGGCATTTGGCAGTGAACCGGGGGATGGGTGCTCTTGCCCTCTGCCTCTCAAATTTAAAAGAAAAGAGCTTGCCTTTCTGTCCAGCAAGGGAACAAGTTGTGAGCGACTGGACAGAACGTAGGGGGCGCTGCAGTGCCACCAATGAGACGCAGAAGCGGAGCAGAGAGAGCCCCTGCCCTCCCAGACACCTGCTGGACCAGGGGACAGGGGAGGAGGAGGAGGAAGAGGGGGAGGCAGCCAGCAGGCACCTGGGGCTCACCCAGGCCTCTTTACCCAGAAGCGGCCGCAGCCAGGGCTCGGCGCCCCAGCTGACGTCACAGAGGGCTGGCAGTGTCTGCCCCAGGAAGGCCGGAGGAACTCACGGGGGAGGAGGGCCCTCCAGAGGGCCTGAGTTTTAGGAAGATGCTTCTTTGCTCATTAAAAAAGCTTATGTGAAAGGCAGAGTGACAGAGACAAAGGGAAAGATCTTGCATCTGCTGGTTCACCCACCAAACGCCTGCAGCAGCCTGGGCTGAACAAGGCCAAGGCCAGGATCCCCAAGCACTCAGCCATCACGTGCTGCCTCCCGGTGCCCTCGCAGGACGCCAGGTGGGGAGGCGGAGGCGGGACTTGATCCCAGGCACTGAGACGGATGCCGGCGTCCCAAGTGGGGGCTTAACCCACGGCACCTCCTCTGCCCTAGCTTGATTTTTTTTTTTTTAATGCCCAAAAAAGTTCAAAACCATTGTAGCCAAAATTTAGTGAAGCACAACACATCAGGAGAAAGGATGGACAAAAGGCCACATTTTTTTTTTCTTTGTGATCAAAATCTTTGTGATCAAAAGCATCAAAGCGAAAAAGCCAAGCTCCATCGACAGAGACTTCACTCGCCGTCGCTGCTCTCTCTGCCCCAGCGATCCCGCCAACCGGCACAGCCAGCCTAAGAAAGGAGTCCCTGCACACAGAAAAGCTGCCCACACAGGGACAGGTTCTGCATACCTATGGAATTCCGGAGTCGGAAGCAGCCTACATGCCGGACACGGGAGGGACAGTTAACGGCGGCATGTCGATGTGATGGAATAATCCGCGCTAATTAATACATGATACGTGCCACAGATGCCAAAGTTCTAAAAATATCCAAAATGGGGCTGGCACCGCGGCTCACTAGGCTAATCCTCCGCCTGCGGCGCCGGCACACTGGGTTCTAGTCCCGGTTGGAGCGCCTGTTCTTTCCCAGTTGCTCCTCTTCCAGGCCAGCTCTCTGCTGTGGCCCGGGAGTGCAGTGGAGGATGGCCCAAGTGCTTGGGCCCTGCACCCGCATGGGAGACCAGGAGGAAGCTCATGGCTCCTGCCTTCGGATCGGCGCAGTGTGCCGGCCATGGCGGCCATTTGGGGGGTGAACCAATGGAAGGAAGACCTTTCTCTCTGTCTCTCTCTCTCATTGTCTAATTCTGCCTGTCAAAATAAATAAATAAATAAAAATACCTGAAATGGAATAGCAGGAGGCAAAGGAATGTGTCCATTGGGACTGCCCGGATACAGGAAATCCAGAGTGAACGCCCCCCCAAGGACACGCACCGCAGCCCACAGCCTCCGCCCTTGGGTGCGAGAAGCGGCACTTCATCACACGGCCGTCGCAGTGGATCCCAGTGGGTCGCAGTGGATCCCCAGAGACACAGGTGCCGGTCCCTTCCAGGGCCTGGGGCAGTCTGTAGCGCCCCGCCCCCACTGTATTGTTCAGGGACCAATCACGAGAAGAGCTTGAACATGACCGGGGCAGAAGTACTTTTTGCATTTTGCTTTTTTGTCCCCTTGAGCTTTTTCTGTTCCCATTTGGCTGAATCCGTGTGGAGGAAGCTGCGGGTTGGGAGGCCGACCCCAGGGCTCCCCGGTGCGGGCACCATGAGCTCAGCACCGCCGCCTGCCGCAGCTCGCTGTGCCAAGGGCTCCGGCCGTCAGACCGCAGATGAAGAGCCAGCAGCAGCAGCCGGTAGGCAGCGCCCTCGGCCCCATCCCACAGGAGGTGCCCGCCTGAGGCTGCGACCCTGCCCGGGCTGGGAGCCCAGGGTTCCAGCCGGAGTGCCGGGGCAGCCGTGCGCTTACCTGGACAAGATCTTTCTTGAGGACCAGGCTCATGACATCGCCAGTGCACTTCAGCTGGATCAGGGACATGAGCAGCTCCGGGCTGCACCTGTTCTTCGGCGGGGTGGTCTGCACCGGCGCAGGTGAGGTCTGCGGCCCACCATCTGCGGGGCAGCAGAGACGGGCAGTGGGGGGGGGACAGTCAGGGAGCGTCCACTGCGCACAGGGACTCAGCTCTTCCGTGCTTAGCTCCCTACCGTCCCGGGGGGTCGCAAAGAGGCTCAGCGAGATGGACAGATTGGAGGGCGGGCAGTGGCCGGTGCTCACCACAGCTGGAGGCCTGCAGCAGGATGGCACTGGCCAGGGGGACCTCCACGAAGGACGCAACGCTGGCGTTGAGCATGCGGGCCTCCCCCAACAGGCCTTGGATGGTGTCTGGGAGCGGGAAACCCGGGATGGTCTTGTCTGGGAAGATCTTGAGAGAGTATTCGCCGGTGGTCTGGGGTTGGGGGAGGAGGGAGAGGCAAGGGAGGAACCCGAGACAGAGTCAGGGGCGCTGCGGGCCTGCGGGGCCTCTCGGGCTGGGTGAGGGGGTCCCCAGTGGATCAGGGAAGGCTTCCTGGAGAGGGAGGTCTGAAGGACCCCGAGGGGCGCTGGGGTGGGGGTGGGCGAAGGGATGGCGCTGGGGGCTTCAGCTCCGGGGCGGGGCCGGGCTCACCCAGAGCTGGATGTTGTGGTTGGTGTTGATGCGCCAGGACACGTAGGGTGGACCCTGCAGGATGAGCACGGCGTCGGGGTCCCTGGACCAGCAGCTCAGTTCCACCTGCACCGTCACCGTGCGCGGCCTGCGGCGACACAGGCGGCTGCGTCGGTGCGGGGCAGCGGCCGCGCCCACCGGGCCGGCGCGGGACGGCCGGACGATGGGACCCGGGGCTGAAGCGGGCGCCCTTACCCGGCCTTGGGGCCCGGCAGGACCCGTACGATGTGCGCCTCCTTGTGGCCGGCCACGTCTTCGAAGCGGCAGCTGCGGACCGGGGCTGAAGCCCGCGGCCACCACTGGAGCGTGCGGCCCATGTCCTGGGGGGCCTCCAGCACGCAGCGGGTCGGGGAGCCGGGGGCTGCAGAGACAGGCGCCTGTCAGTCCCCTCCGTCCGCGCCCGCAGGCGGGTGAGATGGAGCTGCAAAAGTTACCCCCGTCCGGCGCCCCCTGTGGTTTTCCTGCCGCACGCTGAATCGGGGCCTGTCTCCCTCTCTGCCTACACCCGGCTAACATCGGGCACGTGCGGGGCACGCGTCGGAGCAGCCAAGAGCCCGCCCGCTGCGCTCCATACTTGGAGGCTTTCTTACAGGGTCTCCCACGCCCGGAGCGACAGGGTGCGGAGTCACTTCCACCCCGACCTCAGCAGTGGCACCTGCTGGAGGGCAGGGCTGGGCTGACCCAGCCCCCCCGCGGTTCCCAGCCCCAGGGATGGGCCAGCCCCCGCCGCCCCAGCTGACCTGGGCCCAGGTGGAGGACGACGCTTTGGGGGTCCTCCAGCTCAGCAGCAGAGGCGATGGGGCCCCTTGTGGCGGCCCAGTCGAGGGCCTGGCTCTTGGTGGTGAAGGGTGGGGTCTCCGTGGTGTTGACTCCCGGGGGCTTGTGGAAGATGACCAGGCTGGGGTTCTGGGGAGACACAGCGAGGCTCAGGGCTTCGGAGCCCCCTCCGTCCCATGTGGGAGGTCAGGGAGCAATTTGGGGCGTCAGCCTGCTGACTGGGAGCACTCCGGTAGACTGCCCCGCCTCCCCGCAAGGTGGGCCCTTCCACACCCTTGCTCGTAGGTCTCCCTGCCTCCCTGTGCACTCTGAGGGCCTGCAGGGGACAGCGTCTGCTCGCCCAGCTCTTCAGGAAACATCTGCTGATTTTGGGGGGCCCCTGACCTGCCAGCTTCACCCTGACACCTAGCACGAGGAAGGGAGGGAGGGGGGATGAATGAGTGAATGAATGAATGATTTACAGATGGGCAGGGGAGGCCCATGACCTGGGCAGTGTCCCCACTCGGGAAGCAGATGTGCGACAAGTGACTGGAGGCAAAGGACGGCAGAGGGCGTTACCATGTAAAAGGCGCAAGACGGGCCTCTGGTCGGACCAAGACTGGACTTTCCCAGCTCCAGGAGAGCGGTGAGACCCAGGCCCAGGCTGGAGCCGGCGGCTGCGACCCCCAGCTGGCTGGGTTCCTGCTCCTGCCCACCCCTGGGCCCCCCCCTGGACCCCTCCTCCCCGGGAGGAGTAGAGGCGGGAGTTGGAGGAGCCAGGGCAAGGCCTCTCCCTCCTTGACGCCTGGATTTCCCTTTCTGGGTGGGCGGGGCCTCGTGGGGTCCTTCCCTCCTCAGCTGGCCCTGCTGGCTGGGCCGCGTCCATCTCTCTGTCCCTGGGCAGTCCCTGCTGCCCCAACCCCACCCCGATTCCTCACCCCTGTGCACACCCGGCAGCTTCCGTCTGTCTCCGGAACTGTCCCCCGGCCAGCCCGGCTCTGCCCCCGCTCCTCTTCCCCTCCCCTGTGGCTCTGCCTGGCCCCCGGAGCTGCCCTCCTGCATCTGTCTGCCCCTCCCATGCCAGGCCAGGCCCACTCCCCTCCTGACCCTTCCTCTGGCCCTGTGCTCTCCTGCTGCGAACCACAGCTGCTCACATCTGGGGCCCCTCCCCTCCGTCCTCTGGTGAGCGTGTCTTTAAACAATGAGGATTTCCACCCACGTGGGCCACGTCCATTAGTGGATGCAACAAAACGAACAAAACACAGTCTCCCGACCGCACTTCCAGCCGCAACTAGGTTTCTGCCTTGCCCTTGCCCGCCGCACTTGAACCTGAGTCCCCAAATGCCAGTCTGGAAACTTCAAAGCCAGTGAAAGGATTACTCCGGAGACCACCGTGGAGCCCAGTTGTCCCACCGGACAGGTGGGCACCCAGAGGCCGTACAGAGGGTCACAGGTGGCCAGAACTGCACAGCAACCTGACCACGCCTGCATTCTCTCATGCCGGGTCCTGCTGCTGTCTGGGCCCCTGGGTGGGAGGCCCTGGCTCACGGGGACAGCAGGGGCCTCCCGGGCCAGTGCTCAGCCGGGGGTGGGGAGGGCGGAGGTCGCACTCACGTAGGCCAGGTGCAGCGGGATCCCCAGCGCCTGGAGCTGCAGGAAGATGCTCTTGCGCGTGACGAGGACCAGAAGCGCCTCTCGGGGCTGGGTGCTGTTTTGCGTGGGTGCTTGGAGAGTGAGCTCCAGCTCTGACACCTCCTTGGGTGGGGACAGGAGACAGACACGCGTGCGGACGGGTCAGACTCACACAGGGTGGGCCACCACGCGCCGGTGCTGGCCCCAGGCCCCTGCCCCTGCCTCCCGGGGCCCAGAGCTGGGCCTGTCCTCAGAGCGCTGCGAGGGCAGCCCCAGCACAGCCAAGGAGGCGGAAAATACGGAATGAACCTGAACTTCACACGGCAGCCGGCCAAGCGAGGTCTCTCGTTTCGCAGGAGCACCTGCCGTGTGTGACTCGTGCCCGTCGTCCCCCCCCCCCCACCCCCAGCCTTCCAGGCGGCTTCTCCGCTGCCAGCCAGCCCACACATGCTCTCCCAGTGTGCACCAATGCTGTTTGCCTCACTATTTGAAACACACAAGCACACGCATTTTTGAGGGCATAAAACCACGATTTTGTAGAAGCGTGTGGAGGCGTCTGGAGACGTGCCACCAGCACGGAGAATTTCCGTCCCCCAGCACTGTGCTTTTTTCTGGAAGTTTCCTAACCGCGACCACGACACCCGTCCCCGGCTCCCTGCGAGCCGGGCTGCTCTGACTGCGGCACGCTTAGCTCATTTGCTCCTCCCAATGACCCTGACTTGCAGAGAGGCGGAGTCATTTGCCCTTGGTCGCACAGCAAGTAAGTAAGGACCTGGGGTTTGGCTCTGTGTAGACCTCGGCTCTCACCACTGCCCTTCCCTGCCACATCTTCTTTTCTTTTTCATATATTCATTTGAGAGGCAGAGAGAGGGAGAGGGAGAGGTCTTCCATCCATTGGTTCACTCCCCAAATGGCCACCACAGCCGGGGCTGCGCCGTGCTGAAGTCAGGAGCCAGGAGCTTCTCCCGGGTCTCCCACGCAGGTACAGGGACCTAAGCACTTGGCCATCCTCCGCCGCTTTCCCAGGTGCGTGGTCAGGGAGCTGGATCAGAAATGGAGCAGCCGGGACTCCAGCTGGAGCTCGGATACAGGATACAGGGTAAGCGGGGGGTTAGCCTGTTGCGCCGCCACGCTGGCCCCGGGCTACCCTTTTCTACACCTGAGCCCCAAGAAGAAAATAAAAGACAGAGATCCAAGGGCAGAGTGACCTCTGCTCCGCTCTGCACAGAGACTTTCTGAACCCAGGGACTGACGCAAGCGAGCCCCTCAGGCCACATGCCCCAGTCGCCACCCCAACCCCAGCTCAGCGGGAGAGAGAGGCCCCAAGGCCCTGCGCAGCACAGCCCCAGCTGCCGGCCACGCCTCCTGCAGGCCCCCAGGGGAGGCCCTTGCCTGGTCAAGAGGCCGGTGGGGAGTTTGCAGCTTCTCGCCGCCTCCTTGTCCTTCCCGCGGCCGATGTGCCAAAGCCAGGGATGCGCTGCGGCCCAGAGCTGCAGCCCAGCGAGATCTCCGCGGCTCAGCAGCCCTGTGCCTGCTCTTGAAAACCTAACAGGAGCAAATCGCGTCCCTTCGCTTTCAGCGTCCCCGGGTCTGCCATTCCGGTTGGTTATTTTTAAATGATTAATCTTTTTTTTTTTTTTTGACAGGCAGAGTAGACAGTGAGAGAGAGAAACAGAGAGAAAGGTCTTCCCTTGCCGTTGGTTCACCTTTTAATGGCCGCGCGGCCAGCGCGCTGCGGCCAGCGCACCGCGCTGTCCGATGGCAGGAGCCAGGTACTTATCCTGGTCTCCCATGGGGTGCAGGGCCCAAGGGCTTGGGCCATCCTCCACTGCACTCCCTGGCCACAGCAGAGAGCTGGCCTGAAAGAGGGGCAACCGGGACAGAATCCGGCGCCCCGACCGGGACTAGAACCCGGTGTGCCGGCGCCGCTAGGTGGAGGATTATCCTAGTGAGCCGCGGCGCCGGCCATGATTAATCATTTTTATGCTAATTTATAGTAGAACGATCGGCTTCAGATTTACATTCGAACATGTTCACATTTTCCATTGCTGATTTCTGATGGGTTTGTAGCTTCTGCTTTTCAAACTAGCTTGTTTCATCATTTTTTACAAAAAGATGTATTTATTTATTTGAAAGTCAAAGCTACAGAGAGAGGGAGAGAGAGGAGAGAGAGAGAGCGAGCTTCCATCTGCTGGTTCCCTCCCCAGATGGCCGCAATGGCCGGTGAGCCAGGTTGCAGCCAGGAGCCAGGATCCTCATCCGGGTCTCCCACAGGGGTACAAGGGTACTTAGGCTGTTTTCCAGTGTTTTTCCCAGGAGCAGGGAGCTGGATGGGAAGTGGAGCAGCTGGGACTTGAACCAGCACCCACATGGGACACTGGGATTGTGGGTAGCGGCTTTACCCACTACACCACAGCGCCGGCCCTTCCTTTGTTTCATCATTTTTTAAACTATGCACCCTAGGGGAGGGCACTGTGGTGCAGTGAGTTACGCTGCCATCAGCAGCGCTGGCATCCGTATGGGCGCCGGCTCAAGTCCCGGCTGCTCCACTTCTGATCCAGCTCCCTGCTAATGCTCCTGGGAAGGCAGCAGAAGACGGCCCAAGTCCTCGGGCCCCTGCACGCATGTAGGGGACCCAGATGGCACTCCAGGCTCCTGGCTTCAGCCTGGCTCAGCCCTGGCCATTGCAGCCATTTGGGGAGTGAACCAGCGGATGGGAGGGCTCCCTATCTCTCCCTGTCTTTGTAACTGTGCCTTTCAAACACATAAATGCTTTTAAGAAAATATGCATTCTGAGCACTTCCAAAACAAACTGTGGGGCTTGATACCATATTTTGATAAAGTGCAAAATGTACATCTAAGTGTCGCAGCTCCCTCGTGCCCAGGACTGCGGCTGTCACTGAGATTGACCAAGACGACGCAGATGTTCGTCAGTGGTGCCGGGAAAGCCGCCGCACCCTCACTGCATCGGAACTGTTAGCGCAAGCAATCGCTTACGGTTGCACAACTCCGTGTCTATACCCAAACCACTTGATCCACTTTCAGTGGGCGGATTTTATCTCATAAAGCTGTTGAAGATCAATGACCCTAAGTCACTTCTCACACCTGCCCGGGCCGCGCCCTGTGCTGAGCGCGTTGCTTGTGCTGTCTGGGCAGAGTGGGCACAGGTGGGGTCCCATTCTACAGATGCAGCCACAGAGGCTCAGGGAAGCTTCGGAGGGAGCTGTGAGTGAGTGGCCATGTCGGGAGCCCACAGCTTGCCTGGCCTGGGTCCTCGCTCCCAGCCCCACCCCCTCCCAGACTGCACCCCAGGTCACAGCTGTTGTCCCCACCCACCATGGGACACACGCGGCAAATAGGCAGCCCCATGGCTTGGTGCACGGTGGTCAGGAGGCGCTGTGGGCTGCAGTGGGCGAGGAGACCCAGGCTTCCCTGCTCCAGGGGGGCTGAGGGCTCGCAGGTGCCGGGAGAGCAGCTGGAAGCCAGCCCTGCCCTGGCCCTGCTGCGGCCCCTGGGAAACGGGGCTCGGGCCGGCGTGGGAGGGGTCTGCGTAAGGGAAGTGAAGAAGGGGAAGTGGAGGTCAGGGCCCGGTCACGCCAGGGGTGAGGGCATCCGGAGGCAGCAGCTCCTGGACGGACGTCTGCTCTGGGGCTCAGGAACCCGGCCCCTCCTCGGCTGTCACCGAGCGGCCCGAGCCCCCGGGCCTGGCTGAGACCCGCGGAGACCAGGAACACCGGCCCTGGTTTCCACGACCGTGGCCCTGACTCACCCACAGCCCCTCCCCTAGCTCCCGGCGGCCCAGTGGGATTCTGGGAATTCTGGGAGCCAGCCTGAGCCTCCCAGCCCGGGCCTGCCCGGCTGAGCAGGTGGGCGGGAGCCCGTTTCTATTTTTACGCCAGTGTCCCACAGATGCCATTGTTGGCCCAGCGGTCGGTGGCGAGCAGCAGGGATTTCGATGGGGAGGCCCCGAGCGCTCGTACTCACTTATAGAAAGCCGCTTCCAGTAATTCTTCCCGGAGTGGAGCCCGCCCGCCCTGGGCCCGCCTGGAGGTGGCCCTCGGGGAGCCAGCTGCCCCTCTGTCCACCCCAGCAGACAGACTCAGAGATGGCCCAAACAGGGGAGGGGTGGGCAAAGCCTGGCTGACCTGAATTCAAGGGCAGTTCAGTCACGCCTCCTTTCTGGGCCTCAGTTTCCTGGTCTGGAAAATGGGTTGAACACTAGACCCATTCCGCAGACTTTTGAGGTTTTGGTGCAGTTCTGCCTACAAAGTGGCTGTCCCGTGTCCAGTTAAGCACAGTCCACTCTCTGGTCCCGGGTTCCACGTCTACAGAATCAGGGACATTCCAGACATATCCCCTGTACCCAGGCAGAATTTCCTAAACCACACACAAAGCTATTTCTGTGGCACTGGCGTGGGCGCAGGTGCAGTGAGCCATCCAGGGCTGACTTGAAGCGTCTGAGGAGACCGGTGGGCTTTGTGCACGTCACTGAGCCCTTCCACGGAAGGGAACTGAACACCCGTGGGAGATTCTGGTGGCCTGGAACCGGTCCCCGAGGACACCGGGTGATGACTGTGCCTGGCAGTGGCCTGGCTTTCGCTACCTCCGACCCCCACTGCCCATGCACGGGGGGAGGCTGAGGTCCAGGGCAGAGGGGCTGGGGTAGGCTGGGGCTCTGCCAGGCCTCCCTAGGGCATGCGCTCCTGGGCCAGGCTCCCTCCCCTGTGACGGGAGAGCCGGGCTCAGTGATGCCTGGGGGTTGTGCTTGCCGGCTGCCCCAGCCTTGGCTAACCGCGACCTGGTCTGCGGCCCTGTGGCCACGGAGGGCTTCTAGGATGCCTGAAAGACAGGGGACTCCCCCAGCTCAGGGAGCTGCTGGGGTCAGCCCACACCTCCCCAGCTCTCCAAACTCCCCTGACCGGGCAGCTCCAACTCTGTCCTCAGGAACTTGGACGGGAGCAAAACAAACCCCATCCCCAAATGACCAGACACACACAGCAAGCCCTGGGATGGGCGGCCAGCAGGGGGCACACGCACGCACGCCCGCCTGACACTGGCAGGGCCTGGGACAAGAATGCAGGCGGAGGCCCCTGGCCCCAGCCGGCCCCGTCTCTCCACCTGCTTCTGACCGCCCAGCAAGGGAGCTCCCCGGTCCCCCCGTGGACAGCCCAGGCCACACGCCCAAGCTTTGCCTCTCCCCCACCCCACCTCCACGGCAACAGCCGTCTGAGCCCAGAGCTCACGGCAGCCCCGCAGTGCGCCCCCTAGAGGATGGGACAGGAAAGAGCCTGTGCATCGTGGGAGGAGCTCTGGGCACTCCGGGCAAGGAAAGCCAGGGTCCTGCCCCCGCCCCCCCGCAGGGTCTGGAGGGGCAAGCGCAGTTCCAGCTGGGTCCTCAGGCCCTGCAAGCCCTCCACCCCGGCGGGACAGGTGCAAGCAGAAAAGGGCCGGAGAGCGCGCGGGTCTGAGGGCTCCACGGCCTGCAGAGCCCCTACAAAGGAGTTTGGGGGAGCCCAGGGTCCCAGCCTCTGCGGCCTTGCGTGTGGCTCTGGCCAGGCGTGAGTCAGCGCCGCGGGGCGGGTGGGGCGTGCCGGCTCCCCCGGGCCTGCCGGGAGCGGGGTGAATCAGCGGCTGGCACAGTGTGTTACGAAGACAGCGGAGCTGCGCAGACACCAGGCCGGTTTCCTGTCTCCGCGGGTCAGGATGTGACCCTGGGCCCTCTCCCGGAATCCAGGCTCCAGCCTGCCCTCCGGGGACCCTGCCCAGCGGCCCCTTGCCTGTCTGCCGACCACCCCCGCACCTCCTCCCCCAAGCGTCACCTGCCGCCTGCCACCCGCCCACCGGGAATCTGAGGGCTCTGGGGCCAGGCAGCAGCGGACTGGAAAGTCCTTTCTGCAGGCCGGGGACTGACGCAGGCCGCCGTGGGCCGGAGGGGGCAGGCGGGCTGCTGGAACGGCCATCACCCCATGGCAGCTGCTGGCCCAGCTTTCTCGCCTCTTGGCCTTTGCTGGTGCAGTGCCCGGCGCCTGGAGTGCCCGTGACCCCTCTGTTTGCTTAGAGCCCGGGAGCCGTCCCCCAGGGACCCTCCCCTGCACGTTCAGTGCTCGCTCTCCGGTCCCCACAGCCCCTGAGCGCCCTTGCCAATCCCACCCCTCAGCCCCCTGAGCTGCAAGGGGTGCTCCAGGGTGCAAAGCAGGCACCCAGAGAGGCCTGGGGGCGGGGGACTGTTGGGCCGTGGGCCCCGTTGTTGGGGGCTGTCTGGGGAGGAAGGTGCCACCCAGGGCCCCCACGGGCTCCTCAGTGGTTGCAGTGGGAGGGTCTGGAGGGATTGTGGGCCCAACCCTGGGACGGGGAGACCAGGAATTTCCAGGGGGAGGCCCAGCTCCGGGAGGGCCGGCCCCTCTGAAAATGGGTTTGTGGCCCCTGCCCACCTGTCCAGAAGCAATACCCTTGGAGGTGCCCGCTACTGGGCAGCCGTGGAGATGTGTGCACAGTCACACGCCCGGAGTGCAGAGGGCTCTGCAGGTGGGCATGGAGCTCAGGCCCACGGGACACTGGCAGGTGCCGGGAGTGGGCCCCTGGCGCAGGACCTGGCTGGCGCTGCCCCTGTGAGCTGGGCGTCCCGCCTGTCTGAGGGTGCTCAGGGTGTCCCTGGGCAGTGAAGGCCCAGAGAGGTGGCCCAGGCGGTGTGGCTGTCCATCCCATCGGAGCACCTAGAGCTCCCAAAACTGTGTTCTCATTTAAAAAAATTAATTAATTTCTGTTCTTTGAAAGGCAGAGTGACAGAGAGAGAGATCTTCCACTGGCTGGTTCATTCCCCTAATGCCCGCATCAGCCAGGGCTGGGCCGAGCCAAAGCCAGGAGCCTGGGACTCCATCCAGGGCTCTCATGTGGGTGGCGGGGGCCCAAGCACTTAATCCATCACCTGCTGCCTCCCAGGGTGCACACGAGCAGGAAGCTGGAGTTGAGAGCCAAGGCCGGGACTCGAAACCAGAAAGATGGGATGCACGTGTCCCAGGCAGCGTCTACACTGCTGCTCCAGACACCTCCCCACAGCCGGCGTTCTTAACTCATGCACTGGGGTCACTGTGCCTCCTTACACACTGCTGCATACACCCAACTGTTCAGGGCCAGACTCTGCCGCTCTGATTTTTTTTTTTTTTTTAAACAGAGTTAGAGAGAGAGAGAGAAAGAGAGAGAGAGAGAAAGGTCTTCCTTTTCCGTTGGTTCACTCCCCAAATGACCACCACGGCCAGTGCGCTGCGCCGATCCAAAGCCAGGAGCCAGGTGCTTCCTCCTGGTCTCCCATGGGGTGCAGGGCCCAAGCACTTGGGCCAACCTCCACTGCACTCCCTGGCCACAGCAGAGAGCTGGCCTGGAAGAGGGGCAACCGAGACAGAACCCGGAGTGCTGGTGCCACAGGCGGAGGATTAGCCTAGTGAGCCGCGGTGCTGGCCCGCCACTCTGATTCTTAAGCGAAGCTCCTGAGCCCAGCAAAGGGTGTGCAGGACACGGGGGAGAAGGAGCCAACTGTGCACACCGGGCGCCAGGGGAGGTGCCGGCCAGTGACCCAGCTGGGGCTGGACCCCAGAGCTCCTGGCTCCCAGCCCCTTCCACTAACAAACAGCCTTGCAGCTTAGCTCCTGGAGCTAAAGTCGCATGCTCTGTGGATGATCTCCGGAAGAGATGGGAGGCTGTCTGGGAGATTCTGTTGCCCGGAACCACAGGCTCCTTGGGACAGGATACGAGTTATGGTGCACTCGGCCACAGCCCCACCGGCCCAGCCACGGTGCGCCTGCCACAGCCTCACCAGCCTGGCCACAGTGCACCTGCCACAGCCCCACCAGCCCGGCCGTCGGCTGCCCTTGCCCGCAGGATAAAGGCCGGTTTCCTCACTGTGGCTCTGGGCCCCTTGCATCTCGCTAGACCTGCTCCAACATGAACTTCGCCTCCTGCCACGCGCTCAACCCGGCCCCAGCTGCCCGCTGTGTCCGCACCTGCTCTCTCTGCGGCCTCCTTCCTGCAGGTACTCCCACCAGGGAGCCCCGGACTAGGCTGCGGCAGCTGGAGTACCCCTGCCCCGGGGCCCCGAGAACACAACGGGTCGCCTGCGTCGCAGCTGGCTGTCTACATCCTGTCTCCCACGGGCGAAGCCCCCCGGGGCCTTTGGGTGACCATGGCTCAGGGATGCGTGATCATGGGCAGGGCATCCCTGAACAGCAGGACGAACAGCACAAGCTCCCAGCGGCCCGTCTGCGGTTCCGTGTCGTTGCCCGGTGTGAAACAGCCAACAAAGCCGGCGCAAGCCACACGAGCCGCGTTTGGTGCTATCTGTGGCCCGGGGTTATCGCGGCCCGCAGCCCCGGCGGTGGGCAGGATCCCGACGCTGGTGGTCTGGGCGCCTTCTTATCACAGCACAAACACAGGGCAGCTCAACTGTTTTCAGGGCAGGTTGGCCACAAGTTTACCCTAATGGACCCCAGGAAATCGCACTCAGGACCTAGGGCCGCCTCGGCCAGGTGCGGCTTCCGGCCCAGGCAGGCCCGATGCTACCTGAATGTGAGATCCCCAGCCTGGGCCTGGAGTCCCCGGGCCAGCGGCCTCGCCTCTCAGGGCCACCTCTGCAAAGCTGAGTGACAGAGCCCGGCAGGTGGGCCCCCGGGAGGCCTCGTTCGCCCCAGGTGCAGCATCCCTGGCACACAGCAGGGCCTAGCCCTAGGTGGTCCCGGCACACAGTCACCACCAGGAGGGACCAGCCCGTCAAACACACTGACCGCGGGCCCGGGGCGGGCGCTCCTGGGGAGAGCTGGGGTCTTGGAGGGGCTGCAGGCGGGGGAGGGGCTACAGGTGCTCTTCACCGGCCACCTGCCAGACTCAGCCCTGGCCACCCTCGGCAGAACCTGTCCCGCCCCCAGACCCTGCCCCAGAACACCCAGGGAGATGCCCCCGTCTCTCTCTTGGTGGGAGCCCTAGAGCTGACACTGCTTGGTGTACCCCCCTATCGCCCAGAGCCCCCGCCCCACCTCGCCGGGGACACTCACGTTTGGGAACTCCAGGAAGAGGACGTGGACTTCCAGGCTAGCGCTGGCAACCTCCGCCACGCAGCCCTCCGAGACCTGGCTGGTGCTGTATGTCACCCGGCCTCTCTCGGCGTCCATGGGCTGGAGGTCGCACTGGACAGTCTCTGCCAGGCCTGTTGGGGAAGGCGCAGAGAGAGCTGGGTAAGAACAGGGTCCTGACCACGGCTCCGCCTCCCAGATGGCTCCTAGGCCTGTGACCCCCGCTAAGGGCTGCTCCCCGCTGCAAGGCGGGGGGCATTGTATCCATTCCACAGATGAGGAAACTGAGGCTCAGAGAGGAAACATCCTTCATCCAAGGTCAGAGTGCTGCCAGGTTGACTGATAAAAGACAAGACGCCTTGCGGCGCCGGCACACCGGGTCCTGGTCCCGGTCGGGGCGCCGGATTCTGTCCCAGTTGTCCCTCTTCCAGGCCAGCTCTCTGCTGTGGCCCGGGAGTGCAGTGGAGGATGGCCCAAGTGCTTGGGCCCTGCACCCCATGGGAGACCAGGAGAAGCACCTGGCTCCTGCCTTCGGATCAGCGCGGTGCGCCAGCCGCGGCAGCCATTGGAGGGTGAACCAACGGCAAAGGAAGACCTTTCTCTTTGTCTCTCTCTCACTGTCCACTCTGCCTGTCGGGTGGGCTGAGGTTCAAAAAAAAAAAAAAAAAAAAAAAAAATGATGATTCTGAGGAGCCCGGGTCAGCCTGAATTTCAGATAAAGGAGGAAGATTTTGGGGCCTGGCGTTGTGGCACAGTGGGTTAAGCCATGGCCTGTGATGCCAGCATCTCATACAAGCACCAGGTCAAGTCCCATCACTCCACTTCTGATCCAGCTCTCTGCTGTGGCCTGGGAAAGCAGTGGAGGATGGCCCAAGTCCTTGGGCCCCTGCACTCACGCAGGAGACCCACACGGAGCTCCAGGCTCCTGGCTTCGGCCTGGCCCAGCCCTGAGCAGTGTGGCCATCTGGGGAGCAAACAGCGGATGGAAGACCTCTCTCTCCCTGTTTCTCCCCCTCTCTCTGTAACTCTGCCTTTGAAATAAAATCAGTGTTTTTCAGAAGATGGATGTTTGTAGAAAGCATATGTACACCCCAGGTATCGCCCCGGGCACACTGTGCTACTGTGTACTGTGGGTCTGGAATTCCTGTGACACCTGCCGATGGGGGGGAGGGAGTGGGGGCCCCGGGGGCTCAGGGTGTCCCGGCCGCAGCCCCGGGGGACGGGCTGAGCCGTGAGGGCGGCCAGGTTGGAGGGAGGCGGCCGTAGGAGGCCCAGGAGCCCGCCCTGCGCGGCCAGGAAGCCGGGTCCTGAGGGAAGGGAATGGAATTTCACCCCGAGCGGCGGAGGAAGAAGAGGAAGTAAGGCCCCTACACCTCGGCCCAAGGAATGTGCCGGAGGGGGCCGGGGCGGGAAGGAGGACAGAGAAGGGGAGACTGTTTGGAAGTTTGTGTCTCCATCTTGTCGCGCTCACTTCCTGTTTTCTTAGAGATCAAAGATGGGCGCGAGGGCCGGGCCACACGTCCAGCCGACGCCAGCCCCGAGGTGGCGGCCAGCGAGCCCGCGCCCGGCTCCCCCGCCCCCGCCCCCGCCCCCGGAAGAAGATGGGACGGGGCACTTGGCCACCACGGGTGCCCGGGCCTTCTCATCCTCACGCTGGCCTGTCCTGGGCGTGCCCGGGCACTCCACAGGGCCGGGCCACATGGTGTCCGGGTTCTGAGCACGGCCCCTGTCTACCCCCAGGGCTCGTGCTTGGCGGCCTTGGTCACTGAGGTCCCCCCTCGGAGCGGCGGTTCCTGCTCTGTGGAGTGACAGCTGGGGACCCCCACAACCCACAGAGGCCCCCGGGAGGACGGTGTGGGACATCCCATTTCTTTAAGGGACTTCAGTCACTGTCAAAGAAGTGACTATCCAAGGGCGGGGTGGGGGCAGGGCAGCCAGCAGGTGAGAGTCCTGGGGGAGGGACGTCCCGGGGTCTCCCTCACCTGACAGCCCCGTCCCGTGCCCTCTCCCTTCCTGCTGGGAACACAGGCTCCTTGGCTGTTGCCCAGTTCCTGCCCCCACTGTACAGATGGGGAGACCGAGGCCCAGAGAGGTGGGACAGGCCCCCGTCACACAGCACTGGGCTCAGTGCCCGGGCCTGGGACCCAGCTCTCCCCGCACGACCCAGGGCCGGCCTGCAGACCCACGCAGCACCTCCCTCTTCCCCTCTGAACTTTCCCTGCCCCCTCCCCAGACTTCCAGGAACCCCAGTTCCTCCCGGAGTGCCGGGCGCCCAGGGCCGCCTCCTCCATGCCGTCAGCCAGCGGGAGAGGCCACGGGCCTGGCCATTATGTAATGATCAGATAACAGGCAGGCTGGGAGATCAGATAAGAGGTCCATTTATTTTGGGGCCTTTTCGATCCCAGCCACCCCCACCCCGCAGACGAGAATGGGGAGACAGGAGGGAGTGTGACGCCGGGGCCTGTCTCCAGGAGCCCAAGGCGGGCCCAGGCCCGGCTGAAAACAATCCCCTGGCACCAGGGGGAAGGCCAGGGCCTCCCGGGACCCGGGGCGGCCGAGGCGCCACATGGGGCCTGGGTGACCTGGCCTCCTGAGAGAGAGCCCCGAGCCGCCTCCCGCCACGTCCCCTCCTCCCCTTCCCCACCCGGGAGCACGCAGATCCCCTGGGACTTTCCAAGAGGCCAGCCCACGTTCAAGGAAGGGGCCCTGGAGCCGGCCGGACAGCCTGGGCCAGATCCTAGCTCTGCCTCTTGGGAGGGGGACCTGGAGCAGCCGCCCCCAGTGCCTCAGTTTCCCCACCTGCAGACACAGCAGTCACTGCCGACCACAGCGGGGGTCTGCCCGCACCCACAGGTCGGGTCCTCACTGCCCGAGGTGGGGGGAGCTGGGTGCTGCTGCCCCCAGACAGAGGCCTGGGGAGGCTAAGCGGGGGGCCGCCACTCGGTGGCCAGGCCCAAATTTGAACATGAATGACCAAGCCGCGGCCCCAGCACCCGTTCTGCGCGCTGTGTCTCCTGGTGAGCGAGCCTGGGACCCACAGGTGCTGGCATGCAGCACAGGAATCGGCGGATGCCAAAGCCCCCAGCTCCCTTTCCACACCTCAGTGTTACTGTCTGTACAGTGGGTACGCCGATGGTCGAGTCTCTGAGATGCTGAGCTTTGATGAACAGGGTTAGCCCAGGAGCTGGCAGCCACTGCCACACGTGGGTGCGCTGAGTCAGCAGGGGACAAGGGGGCTTCCCCCTCAAACATACCACGCTCCAGGCCCCTGCCTTTCCCAGACCAACGGCCACCCTTCATCTGACCTCCCAGCCAACTCCTATTCATCCTTCAAAGTCCTGATGAGAAAATCCCATGGGAATGCATGCCTCCTTTCTTAGGCGCATCAGTGCTGAGTGTCCTGGAACCACACAGGCCCATGTGACTTGCTCTGCCCGGGCCACATGTCTGCACTCCCAGGGGACACAGGTTCTCCAGGACAGGAGAAGTCCCGGCACCCTGGGTCCTGGTCACTCAGCCCGGGGCTCGATGCATCTGTGGGATAGGTTTGTCAGGCCTCCCTCTAACTCGCTGGGTGGCCTGCGTGGGGCCCCTGCATCACCCTGGGTCTCAGCTTCCGCCTGGGGTGGGGGGCAGAGGGGCAGGTCCCACAGGGCTCCAGCGTCCTGGGGTCTCATCTGGGTCGAGGGCAAGGCTTTGACAGGGATGCAGAGAGAGGGTGCAGGTGGGGTCCCGGGGGCCATACTCGGGGGGGGCCACTCCGGGGGCAGGGGCAGGGGCCGATTGCCCGCAGGGCCTCAGCACCTCGGTGGCAGAGCTGTGCAGTGGTCGGGCCCAGGGCGCAAGCCCCGCTGCTCAGGTCTGAACTGTGCTGGTCGGCAAATCCCTCCACCGGCCTGTGCCTCAGTGTCCTCTTCTGTAAGGTGGGGCTGACAGGGTGCAGCCCCCAGAGGGTTTTGCAAGACTTGGGTCTGACGGGGACGCGCAGCAGGCAACCGCGGGGTGCGGCACAAGCAGGGACTAAGGACGCGCCCCTGACAAGACCCAGGTGTGACGCCCGCTCGGTCCTGGGGGGAGCCCTCAGGGCTGACACCCCCAAGCCTGGGCTGGAGCCAAGGGCCGGGGCCTAGATGGTGACCCGTCTCCAGGTGCGTAGCGCGTGAGCCGTCAGAGGCACGGGCCGGGAAGCCGGGTTGGAAGCGGAGAGCTGGGGGTGGGATTTGGAGCTGCCGCCTGTCCTGGCCCCCGGTCCCCTCGCTGGACGCTGGGCAGTGGCCTAGGACACAGGAGAGCCACTTACTTTCCTCTCTCCCAGATCCGGCCAGGCTGTCGTCTGAGACGCCTCTGTCCCTCTGTCCCTGTGGTCCCAGGGTCACCTCTGTCTGGCTGGGGAACTCGGTGGTCATGGCCCTACCATCCCCAGGGACCCATCCTCTCACATGGCTGCTGCTCCAGCCTCTTTCCTCCTGGCCAGGGAGACGCTGCCCTGGAAGACAGCCTGGAGGAGGAGGGCATTTGAGGCCTGTGCTGTGTCACCACCCCCTCTTCAGCGAGGTCCCCCTCCCTCAAAAAAGGTGGCCAGTGGCTCCCTGTCACGCCCCTGCCCCTCCCATGCCAGCCACCCAGCACGGGCCCCGAGGCCCAGCTCGCCCACTGCTGGGACTCCATCCAAATGAAATAATCCCAGATACCGGAAAAGGTGCATGGACCAAAAACATGCATGGGGCGATATTTATAACCAGAACAAAGCGAGGAGCCACCTGGACATCCCACAGTAAAGGATCTGCTGGGCAAAGGGTGGCGCAGTGAAGGTACAGAATATTCTAGAACTGCAATGCGACACTTATGCGGTCCACATGACAACAGGGAAACTGGGGCACAAGACTCCCAAACGCTGATCCCAAACGACCTTAAGAAGCCGATGAAAACCAGTACAAACCCCAGCTCGCCTCCGGTGCCACCACTAACAGGGCCCCTTGCTTGGAGGACCAGGTTAAGTTACTTTGGCAAAATCCCTTCAGCTTTGGGCTTAAATGACAAGTTCCAGCTTGACACAGAAAAGTGTGTCTTAGAAAGCGAAATCCCCTCGAGAGAGCCCCATGCCAAAGAACCAAAGAACGGGCACGTGGGATGCACAGCCTTCCAGAACGTTCTGCACGCACACTGTACGTTCTGAGCGTTTGGCTGCTACAGGACCGGAGTCCCCGCGGCGTGTCACCTGGCGGTGTGTCCCAGACACCTGCCTGTGGCTTCAGGATTTGGCTCCAAGGCCCCCTGCTGGGGGGCATTTGAGACACTTACGGGCCACATGGCTTTTCGTACTTGGGCAAGTCATGCTCCAAGGCTGGCTTCGGAAGGCTGAGTTGTGGGGACGAGAAGTTAGGCACAAGGGACAGCTCTGGGACCCTCTGCCAGCTCTGTTTCCAGAAGACCCGCCCGAGCAGCCTCAATGAGCCTGCCCGGGTCACTCTCCGCTCAGCCCTGAGCTGGGGAGCTGGGTTCCCCATCCTGCTCCAAGGCGGCTCACTGACACTGCCCACTACCTGGGCTGCGTGGTTGCTAACGCCCTGGAACCTGTATCACCGCCGTGCAGGCTGGGGCCAGCTTCCACCTGCTCCCAGGATGGCACAGGTACATCGCCCCGGCATTTTCAAAACAAGAGTTAACATGGCTACCGCTGACCCGGCAATTGAAGGAAGTACATTGATACATAAAAGATACTCAGTATCCGTCGCCTCATCCTTCCACTCCTGCGCACTAGGACTCCAGGGAGGGGGAGACAGGAGGGTCGTGTCTGGGCAGGGTGGTGTCTGGGCGGTGGGAGAGACGCAGGTGCGGGTCAGCCCCGCCCCGCGGGCTCCCACTGACCTGCCCACTGCTGACTTGCAGCCCGTGAGGCCGGACTCCAGGTCCCGCCCGGCTCTTTCTTCGAGACCCAAAGGAAGGGAGTGAGCTCTCCAAGAGCCGGATGAGGGGGAGCGGGGAGGGGAGGCTGAGCGGCCCTGTGGGAGCATCTGGGAGCCCAGGCTGGGGACTCAGCCTCTGTTTCCTTGCCTGTGAAATGGGGCTGATGAGGGCGGCTATGTTGCAGGGTGGCTGGGAGCCCGGGTGGGAGGCAGTGCCCCGGCCGCTGCGGGTCTGGGGTCTGTCGCCTGGGCTGCTGAGCCTCAGCCTGCACTCAGTGAGGTGGCGGTGGCAGCTTCGGAGCCGGGGCCTGGGGGTGCGGTCAGGATGGCGCAGGGGTGAGGTGGGAAGGGCTGGCCTCGCAGCCACAGACCCTTCCTCCTCCTGCCCCTCCCTGCAGGCCCCTTAGAGAGGTCCTGGATGCCCCGGCGGGTCAAGGGTCCCCAGGGCTGGCCGGGGGCCCCAGGAGCCCCACAGCGAGTGGGACGGGGGGTGGGGGTGGGTCCTTCCCGGCCTCTCTTCTGACTGGCTTCCAAAGCAGCTGTGACACCTCTGAGAAGCCCCCGGGCTGAGGAGCCTCATGGAACCCCAAGCTGGGCCCGCACCCCCATCCACGGTGCTCCTGGGGAGCCGGAGGAGGCACGGGGCGGGGGCCAGGGCATCGCACGCTGGCTTCTTCCACAGGCCCCAGGGAAGGTGAGGGCGTGGGGAGCTGAAGCCGACGGGAAAGCGGCCCGGCCCGACCCCCTGCGGGCCAGCGCGCCCCTACGAGGCCAATTCGCTCCCTCCACCTTGCTCAGAGCCTCGGAGGCCGTCCTCACAGAGCACACTGAGGAGCACCCGCGTGCGGGTCCACCTCCCACACATTACTTTTTTTTTTTTTTTTTTTTTGACAGGCAGAGTGGACAGTGAGAGAGAGAGAGACAAAGAGAAAGGTCTTCCTTTGCCGTTGGTTCACCCTCCAATGGCCGCTGCTGATCCGATGGCAGGAGCCAGGAGCCAGGTGCTTCTCCTGGTCTCCCATGGGGTGCAGGGCCCAAGGACTTGGGCCATCCTCCACTGCACTCCCTGGCCACAGCAGAGGGCTGGCCTGGAAGAGGGGCAACCGGGACAGAATCCGGCGCCCCGACCGGGACTAGAACCCGGTGTGCCGGCGCTGCAAGGCGGAGGATTAGCCTAGTGAGCCACGGTGCTGGCCTCCCACACATTACTTAGCCCAGAGAGGGTGGGGAAGTCTCCTGGGGCTGCACAGCACTCTGGGGCCTGGGCTTCCTGGGAAGGCGTGGGCGCACTGGAAGGGCAGAGGTAAGTGCATCGGCCTGGTGTGCCCAAGTCCTGCGACCTGCGAAGGCCCAAGACCCCAGCTCGGCCCGTGCGGGGTGAGCTTAGGGGAACACCTGGGGCTGGTCCTGGGCTCTGGGAGCCGAGTGTCCCCACCCTGGGTCCCCTGACACCTACTTGTGGGGCCAAGGCTGCAGAAGGCCAGCAGCAGGGCCATGAGCGGGGGCAGCGCGCCGCGGTCCATGCCGTCCGCTGGGAGCTGTGCGCGCTGGGCTTTATCCGGTGTCCAGAGGCAGGGCTGCGGGCGGGCGCCCGGGCCGGCGTGGGCTCGCGCGGGGACCCGAGGGGAGCAGGCGGCCGGAGCGGCGGCGTCCCTGCTCCAGCCTTCTGGGGTGGCGGCCGAGGGCTCAGGAGAAGTGGGCTCAGGGACGCAGGGCCGGGCCGGCAGCTCTGGCCGGTGGTGGGGCAGGCAGGGCTGCTGGGCTGCCGGGGACAGCGGCGGTGGCGGCGTGGCGGTCCCGGCCTGTGGACGCAGAGGGAGGCCGAGGTATGACCGGCGGCAGCGGCGGCGGGGAGCTCTGGCTCATCCAGCCCGGCCCAGAGAGGCAGGAAATGCGCTTCCTTAGAGAAGGGGCCGGCCCAGGCCGCCTGCCAGGCGGGTAGAGGAAGTGCCACGGGCTTTGTCGCTGGGTGGGGGGCCCCGGGATGGGGGGAGGTGGGGGTGGGCGGGCCCAGGCTCCGGGGCTGTGTCCTCGAGGCTGGCAGGTGGGGGTACATGCAGGGGTAAAACAACTCTCCACCAGCCGGGCCCTGCGGGCGCCATCAGCCCCACAAACTCAGCATTCCCATTATGCAGAAGGCGGAAAAGGAAAACTGAGGCAGTGAGACAACTGGTCCGAGAAGGGCATGGAGTTGAAATCCGAGCAGGTCTCGGCCCGGGGGGGACACACTCAGGCTGCGCCCCTCGCTGGGTGGAAAATCCACAAGACTCCGGAGACAGCCCCCACTGAGGGGGCCTGGGTTCAAACCTGTTCTGCTTGCCCTGAGCTGGGAGGCCTGGGCCCTCAACTCCCAGCCACCTGCCTGTCAAGTGGGGCCTGGCAGAGCTGGCCTCGCTGGGCGGCTGTGAGAGGTCCAGGCTGACCCTCGGCCAGACACACGGGGAGGCCCTGTCAGTGCTCCCGGGGCCTGCTCTCAATCCCAGATCCATCCCACATTCATTGTGCAAACAGTAAGCACCTGCTGTGTACCCACAGTGCTTGTCACAGGTGGCGCCTAGGGTCAGGCCCAAGGGAGCTTAGAAGAGGGACCTGAGCCAGCCGCTGGGGAGGGCACAGTATGTGTGTGTGTGTTCGGGGGGGACACGGGGAGAGAAGTGACCAGGACAGCCTGCTGGACACCGCACCAGCCCGAGCTGGCGCGGGGGCAGGAGGGGGTCAGGCCGCTGGGGACTGGGGACAAGCAGGGCGTGTAGAAGCAGGAAGCCTGCAGAGACAGACTCGAGCCGGCCCCGTGCCAGGACCCTGCCCCAGGGCCGGTGGGAGCCGTGCAGGGCTCCTGAGCAGGACGCCGGCCGAGCTCGGCTTTAAGAGAAGTCTCGGTGTGCGGTGGCAGACCCCACAGTGGGATGGAGCCGGGTTCCTTCTCGCTGTGCCTGTCTAGGGTCGGGAGGGAGACGGGAGGGAGGAGAAGGCTGGAGCCCTGGGAGCCTCCAGCCGGGTCCGAGACCTGGTCCCCAAGCGCCCGCGGCCCTCCTTGGCCTGCTCCAGTGACCCGAACAGGCCCTGCAGGAGCTGACCGGCGAGGGGGCGGGGTGGGGCTCCCTGGGTGGGGGCTTCGGGGAGGGTCACTCGCCCAGCCCTGGGGAGGCCCGGGGGCTCCCACTCGGGCATGGGAGTGGGCTCGAGGGAGACCCGTCCTGTCCCAGCGGCGCCCGCGCCACGCCGCCGGCCCGGGGCAGCTCCAGCGCCTTTTTCTGCAGCCGAGGATGGCTTAGCGGTGGCCCGCCCACCCGGGGACAGTTAATCCAGCCCTGTCTCCGCCAGGACCCGCCCTAGGCGTTCACCTTATCGGCCAAGCCGTTGTCCCCCCATTTTACAGAGCCCGAGGCTCCCTGATATTTCAGCACCTGCCTCCCGGCAGGAAAGAGGAGACCCAGGACCTGCTCGGCTGCTGCCCCGCCCTGCCTGGCTGAATGGGCTGTGGGTGTCCAGGGCCTGGGGGTGCTGTCCAGGGTGGGGTGGGGATCCCGAGAGCAGAAAGAAGAACCTCATAGAAGACATCGAAGGTCCCCTCCCGCCCACGTCCCTCCATGCCCTGCACTCCACCCTGATCTGATCTGGGTTATAAACGAGACCCAGTGGATTCTCTAGAAAGCAGGAGAGACTTCAGGAGGACACTAGGAGGAACTTACAGAAAAGCCACAGGGAGAGAAAAACTGAGCCAAAACCATGGGAGAGACTGGAGCCCGCAAGGGAGGAGGGAGAGCCTAGGACCCCCGGGGGCAGAGGAAGTCCCCTCCGCTCCCAGGCAGCCCAGGCTCAGACGGGGTGGGGCCGCACCCGTCTGCTTGACCAACAGCCCCACAAGGTAGCGTCTCTGATGACCTCTGGCTGCTGGTTCTGAGCGTTCGGCCTGGGCCTTGGGTCCCGGAGGATGCATTTGTTGAAAGCAGGACCTACCCCGGAAGGGAAGGCAGTGGGGCGGGTCCTGGGCACAGGGAAACTGAGGCACAGCGCCCTGGGCCTCGTGCCGGGTCCCCAGGAAGCTCGAGGGTCATATGCCTCACAGCAGGGCACAGACCTGGGACTGGCTAGCTCCCTGGGCCCCTTGTGCACTCTGCACCGGGCCAGCCGTGCCGGGAGTGGGAGGGAGCAGGCGAGGGATCCAGCTCTGGCGCCTTCGCTGCCGGGTCGCGGCCCGCACGCAGTGCACCCGTGAGCAGTCTCCTGCGTTCCATCCGCAGAGGTCATAGCCCTGGCTGGCCATGCACTTGGTGCCTCTCCTTCCCCGAGCAGGCCGAGGGGGTCCCGGGCCTGGGGGATCATGCCTAGTGCCAGTCCTGCTCCCTGTACACCCCTGGGCAAGCAGACCCCTTCATCAGAGCCCCCCAGGACCCCCGGAGCCATCCGCTTCCTGCTGGGGCTCTGGTCCATGCCAGACAGACACGTGGCTGCTGGCAGCCCCTGGCCTGGACGGGGCAGTGAGCAGACAGGCACATTTGCTCCTTCCTCCCCTGGCTGGCCGGGGAGGCCTGGGATGCAGGAAGGGATGCGGCACGTCTACACTGGCCGCTGGCCATCGAAGGAATTCGAGGAGGCCCCCAGGGACCCCCCAGGCGGCTGTGTGTCTCCAGCACCGGCCCAGAGCCAGGGGCTGCTGATAACAGCGGGGCCAGACTCTCACTGATAGAGAATCCAGACGCTGGCCTGCCCGAGCCAGGTGGCCCCGGGCGAGGCCTTTTGCCTTCTGGGCCTCGAGCAGGCAGCCTCCTGGCCCAGGAGAGTCCAGAGGGCCGGACAGGGACCAGGCTCGCCCACCCGGCCCTGTGCTGGGCGCCACTTCGCGGCACTGCACGTGCGAGACGCCTGCGTCCCCATTCCACAGCAAAGGAAACCGAGGCCCAGCTGCGCGTGGCCACGGGGCTGGGGGGAGCCGAGAATAAACCACATCCTGTGTGAGTTTTGCCTTTGGCTTCCAGAGCATTCCACCCTGGCTGTCCTACTGCTCTGGCTGCCTTCTCTGTCCCTCCACCGGTTCCCCGACCTCCCCTTACCCTGTGCTGGGTCCCTGGGCTGCTTCCCGCCTCTGTCAACCCCCACCCCCACACGGGGCTTTCTCAGGCCCTGGTGCCCAGCAGGCGAGGGCTGGGCTCTGACAGCCCTGCACGCGTGCTGCAAACCCACACGTCCCCCGGCGATCGCAAGGCCCTCCCCTAGTGCCCGTCCCGTCCCTCGGGTCCTGCCGCTGGCCGTCAAGTTCACCATGATTGATCGCCCGCCGCTGGGTCCCAGAATCATACACGTGAGATCCTTGCTGCTCCGGGCAAGCTCTCGGTGCCCTGGAGGCGTAAGTGACCCAGGACCTCCAACCTCAGACCCATGGGAGGGAACCCCGGGGGAGGGGTGTGCCCGAGCCCACGTGCGTGGCACTGTGCCCGCCCAGATGGGTGACCTCGGATCCCGTCTGTGGGCTGAGGGCACCAGCTTTCTACCTCCAGCCAGAACGGCCCCCAGGCCCCCGGGCATCTCAGCGCCACCCCCGCCCTCACACGGCCACAGCTGGGCTCCAGGCTTCGCAGGCTGCTCCTGTCTCAGCCTCCATCCCACACCTTGACCCCTCCTGTCGCACAAGCCTTGAGAAGATCTTGATGGACAGACGGCTGTGCTCCCGCCCTCCCCCGAGCCCCGGGACCTTGGCTGCTGTCCCCGAGCCCCGGGTGGTTCCTGCTGAGTTCTCGTTCAAATGCCCAGGTTTGCAGACCCAGCTGCTTCCCGCAGCCATGGCAACAGCCCCCCCAACATGGCGGTCCCCTCCTCCCGGAGCTCTCTCCTGGCTTTGCTCTTGCCCCAGCCCCTCCCCCACGCTCTCAAGGCCGCTGTCCAAGCTGAGTTGGAGTCCGTCCCTGTTGGCTCAGCACCCTCCCCCCATAACCCTCTTTTCAGAACAGAAGCCAAAGCCCCTCACAGGGCCGGGGAGGCCCCTTTACCCCCTCTTCAGCCTCATCTTCCGGGCTTCTCCGTCCAACTCAGTGAACTCCAGCCACTGGCCCCTTGCTCTTCCGTGTCCAGCATGGCCGCCTCAGGGCCTTTGTACTTGCTGTATCTGCTCACTGGAACACTATCCCCCTTGGGAGCTGCAGCACTCACTCCCTCGTCCTTTGAGCCCCTGGCCCTACGCCACATGGTCAGTGAGGCCCCTGACCCTGGCGTTTGAGATGACCCCTCTCCCACCTGCCCTGGAGTGCACGTCGCCCGGGGCCCACTGCGTGCCCTTCATTTGTTGTGTTTCCTCTCCCTGGATGAATGTCCCATGAGGTCAAGGGCATTGCTTTGTCGCCGGCTGTATGCCATCTTGTTTTTTTTTTTTTTTTAAGATTTTATTTATTTTATTTGAAAGTCAGAGAGTTATACAGAGAGAAGAAAGGCAGAGAGAGAGAGAGAGAGAGGTCTTCCATCTGCTGGTTCATTCCCCAGATGGCCGCAATGGCTGGAGCTGAGCAGATCCGAAGCCAGGAGCCAGGAGCTTCTTCTGGGTCTCCCACACAGGTACAGGGGCCTAAGGACCTGGCCCATTTTCTACTGCTTTCCCAGGCCACAGCAGAGAGCTAGATCGGAAGAGGAGCAGCCAGGACTAGAACCGGCGCCCATAAGGGATGCTGGCACTTCAGGCCAGGGCGTTAACCCACTGCGCCACAGCGCCGGCCCCTCTATGCCATCTTGTAAGGGTGCCTGGCCCAGGGAAGGCATTCCATGCATGCTGGGTGAACACTGAGCAGGCTCAGCCCTGGGCCACTCGGGGTGACCCAGACCCCAGACCTCAGGGGACATTCTCAGGGGACGGCTCCGAGCGCCCCGGGGAGTGGGTTTCGGGGGCTGCCAGGCCCAGGTGTCTGCAGAGAGAGAATGACCGCTCTGC